TATTATTATGAATGTCGGGATTTTCTGATTTATGAACCAGAAATCGATATGCTTTACTATTTGGTCTAAAAAATTAATCAATCAAAAATCCGAAGCCGTAGCCGTAGCCGAAGCCGAAGCGAGCGACGACGACGACGACGGCGCGAGGCTTGCTTTCTTCTTAACTCTTTAAGAGCTACAAGAAGAGCAATTATATATATACCCACCAAAAATCTTTTTCTCTTCCAATATGGGACAATGTCTCATTGTCAAGAGGGGAAAACTTAAAATTTTACTCAAAAATTTCATTTTCCCTCCATTTCCCATTCACCCTCATTTTAAGACTATTTCATCTTAAAAAATAAAACCTCAATATGATAATCTTTCATAAAAAATATAGTATACGTAGTTCATGAAACTGAATTAGGTAAAGACTCTTTTTTCTCTTTTCTGAGTGCAATGGTAAGTCCAAGATTAGAAATTTCCCGAATCTCCTTTTAACGAAAGAAATAAAAGGTCGAGAAGGAATACACTAAAAGACTTACCAAATATTTGTCTTAGAGTTGAGCGGGAATCAGATTTATTAACAACAACTTACTATTGCTAGCTAGAGAAGGAATGCAATCAACTGACCAAATATTCATCATAGAGTTGGAAGGGAATCAAATTTTACTAATAACAACTTATTATATATTTTAGAATTTGCAAAAAATAGAACTTTGATATTTGCAGTAAAATTGGGAATAAATCAGATTTTCTCTGGTTCAAATTAGATTTTATTTTAGTAAAGTTGGTAACAACTTTTGACCCTAGAGCCCCTTGTCCCTCCTATATATAGTGATATTTTTTATCAATCACCATCATTCTCAATACAACTCAGCCTATTTGCAGAGATGAGGAGGGCTACCAACACTGAAGAGAACGACGATGACGATGATGGAATCCAATTCTAGCATGAATCCTCTTCATGGATTTTTCGACATTGAATCAATGAGTCACCATGTTTGTAAGTTCATCTCTTCGTTTATGCTTTCATTCTAATCTTTGATGTGTCGATCTGCCTTTTTCCTTTATAAAATTCACGTAAAAAAATAAAAGACGTGGAGTCTAATAAATTATATCTAATGACTTGCTATTTTGCAGTTTGCATGTTTTGTGGTTTTACTGCAACAAGAAAAGACGGAAGGTCTGATTCACATGGAAAGGGGACATTAACTCTTTTTTATTCCTTTCCTACGATGGTAGCCTTGAGCTTTCTCGTCTCTTGTTGCAAGTTCAACCCATTGCATGTCGATCGTATTTATCCTTTAAAGTACGATCAGAATTATCTAGGAGGTTCATCAGCAGGTAATTAAGCAACAATGAATTGTTTGTTGGTTATTTTCTTGAGTCCATATCTACTCTAAATTCTGACCCTCTTTTATTCATATATTCGTCTCAGGTCTTTCGCTAGTTTTTGGCTGACCAGTCACAAGTTTGGGCACCTGCAAAATCTCCCGGAGATGTACAAATTTACAGCTGAATCCTGAGCCTTCTTTGGGAAGAAGCATGAAAACTTCTAAGTAATCACAGTTTTCAGTAGCAACATTCATCTCTTGAATTGATCGTAAGGATAGAAGGATTGGGAAAAGACCCGTGAGAAGAACAACAGTGACAGACCAACTTTAATATGGGAGATATGGGAAGAATTTAACAAAATAATAAGTAGATGCCTTGCATAATGATTTAGACTTAGACTGTTAGACAATCAGAAGGAATTAATTTGTATGGGATGAGAGGGGGCTTTTTTTTGGCCATTAGCTTCATTGTGTAAAATGTAAACTGGCTTAGTAATATGAATTTCTATTTATCGTCTTGATTATTTAAAGTGAATTCCCACATTTGCAGCCTCATCTTTAATTTGATAGTTTACCATCTAAAGAGCCATTTACTTTAGACTTTCTTCGTCACGATTTAACGTTTAGGTCTATTATTTAAAGAAGCATGGAATGGAATAAGGGAACGTATCAAATGATAAAAAGATAGCTTTGCTACTGAAACGTAAGCTCACATGCACAGATCTGAATTTTCCTTTTAGTTACAACTTACTCCAATATATGCTTAACTAAATATTATTTTTGCTCTAACGTTGTCAACCCCTGTATATACACCATGAGATCACGAGGGGATTTTGATCTGATGGTTGTGAGTCGAAGGGGGAAATTTGGGACATCCTTGCTCACAAAGTTGCATTGTATAATAACAATCAGTTCTGCCCATGATTAAACAGCAATAGCAAGGTCTGCCAGTTTTGCAGTGAGCAACATGCTTGCAAAAATCTTGTTGTATTTTCTCCCCTTTGGTAGCTTTCAGTTTTCTGTCAAATTCTCCAACATAAAGTTTGTTGCCTTCTATTTTTTTCCCAACCTGTTTGAAGAGAAAATGGAATAAAAGGAGTTTAAGTGCCAACAAAGTATGAGCAATTTAAATTCGCACAAGATAAAAAACAATTTATTAGGAAAAAGAAAAGAATATTTGATTTAGGTGTTTAAAACAACAGGAAAAAAGGTACATGTCACAATTAATTTAAGGTAAGTCTCGCAACTAGACTTTCATTGATGAGTACCAAAGAGGGTGGGAATTATAATGAGAAAGAACACAACAAGATGCTCAAGCTTAGTAGGAAAATCCATGAATTAATTGTAAGGCCAATCTTAGATCTTGACAAACAAGTAGACTAGTCTCTTTGCGTATCCAAGATGTGGATTGTTTACCCTCAAAATTGGATAATAATTGAATTTGTAAGTTGTTTTAAGGATGCGTGATTTAACTTGATACAAAATGACAAATTAGATTGCAATTAAAATAAGTAATGGAAAAGTAAACGCAAACCACATGAATTGAACAGTCTTAGCCCCGTAGAATTAATCACCCTTGAACCAGGTACTTCGATCGATATCAAGACAAGAGAAATGAGAGCTTTAAATAGAGTAGTAAGAACTTAAGGAGAATAATAATATATTATTTTGGAATGCGTATTACAATCTGTTCAATGAATTATCAGACACTCCTTTATATAGTAGAGGAGTCCTACTTTAGGTACAATTCTATAAAAGGTAAAAAAAATTTCTTGATTTGATGATTATTGGTGCCTTATTGATACGTGCCGAGATTCCCGCCATAATATCTGACCGGTCACGGATATTTCGATCTTCTGTTGGTTATGCTAACAGAGTTTCTTCGAGCTTGATCAGGGCTAAGGTCGACTCCGGGATTACGGAATCAATATTCTCGAAGGAAGGCATTATGACCCCGGGTTCTAGCTTGGTGGGACTCAGGATCGATCTTCAGTCTTTGGTTGTCATGTTTCTAACTTGTCATGTTGTAGGTGAGCTCGATTTCGACCGTACGCAGATAATCCCCTCGTTTTTCGGAGAGTAGACGACGAGAAACGACATGAGCTTCCAATTTTTTCTTCGATATCACACGACAGAAACGACAAAACTGTCGAAACGTCTCGTCAGTCAAGTCTTAATGGCATTAAACGCTTGTCAGTTGCTGGTCGTCCACTCCTACATGTGAATCGTCGCTAGAAAACTATATATACCCCCTCATTTGTTCATTCAAAATTTACATTCAAACCTCCTGCCCTCGTTTCTAAGATATTTCAATACTTCCAAGTACTTATATTCTGGTTACTTTGAGTTCTTTTATAAGAATTCTCATTCGACTTTTTCTCAAACCATCGAGTGTACTCTTTTAACTTCCTTTTTTTCCTTATTTATTCTCTATAAATAAATGGCGAAAACTTCTAAAATCGTTCCCCAAAAATAAACTCCTTCTACCTCGCGGCCGGCTACCGAAGAGACCGCTTCACGTACTGCTATCGAGGAACCAGCACCGGAACCTCCTCTAAAAATATTCAACCCGAGGGAATGCCCGGTCAATGCTGACTTTAAAGTCAAAAAGCCCTCCTCCGTACTAGGCCGGTGTAAGGAGGTCTCGAGGTACATCTGCTCGATCACCGAGGATATTCTCTCCAAAGTCAAGAAGGATTGTAACTGGGCTGACAAACATATGGTGGTTCCCGAACCTAACGAATCCATCACCACCCACATCGAGGGATTTTTATGTTTTTACACTTATCCCTTCACGTTGGGCCCCTTGGCTCGGTCATTGTTGACTATTCCAAAATATACGATGTAACCCTCGGTCAAGTTCACCCTTCTTTCTGAAGGATCGTAATCCTCCTCCGCTTCTTTGTAAGCAAAATCGAAGGGTGCCCTTTCACGATCGACCACCTTATGCGCTTATACAATCCCCGAATCTATCGGGAGGATTGATTAAGCTCGCCCATCGGGCTAGTAAAGCCGCGTTCTCGAGTATCGATGAAGATATGGATCGAGGTTGGCTAGGCCGTTTCATCCAAGTGAGGACCTCGGACTTGATTATGGCCGAGCATATGCCGTTCCCTGAGAAGTGGAACATGCCCTTTTTATTCCTTCTTATCGGCGTTCTGTGATGGTGCAGTTGTTGCTCGGATCCCGAACGCAATTCCTCGACTTAAGGAGTGGGTCGAGGGCATCGTATATTCCGAGCGCTCGTGGCGCGACCTTTCAAAGGGCCGATGGGAGGCCCATTTGCATGGTGAGATCTCTTTCATAAGTGATACTCCCTCCACTTCAATTTATGTGAACATGTTTGAGTGGGCACAGAGTTCATGAAAAAATGAAGACTTTTGGAATTTATGGTCCTAAACAAGTCGAAAAGAGGTCCAGAGTATTTGTGTGGTTATAAAAGCTTCTCATTAAGGATAGAATTAGAAGTTTAAGCTAAATTGTTTCCAAATTTAGAAAGGGGTCATTCATTTTGGAACGGATCAAAAAGGAAATAGGTTCACATAAACTGGAACGGGGGGAGTATTTAGCTTCCCCTTTGGATGATTAATTCCTTACTTGTTTTATTTCCTTTTGCAGGTTTACCCAAGGATGTCCAAATGAGGCCCCCATCATGTAGTGACGATTTTCCCACCGAGTCCCCTGCTTCGAAAGAGGGTGAAGAGAAAAAGTGCTCCGAGTTCTCCAATCTCGGAGAAAAAGAAACCAAAGAGGAGGCTTATCCGCAAACCAAAAGAAACTTCCAGCTCCATAATACTTGATTCGGACTCCCTCTACCGGCTCAGGGACGAGTCTGAAGAGGAGGAAATTTTAGTGGCCCGAGAGCCATCGGTCCCTAAAGAATGGGCATCAACCGAAGGGGGGCTGATAGAGGCTAATCCTTCCCAAACTTAAGAGGTCGACACATCAGTGAGGGTCGAGAACCCACAAGACACCGGTTCTGCTCCACTCGGTGTCATCGATATAACGGGATCTCCTTCATTCACGGACTCAATGTTTGGTGAAGCTCAAGCGGCGAAGGAGCGTTCAAATAAGGGGGTCCAAGGAGCGAACGATCCCCACCAAAGCTTTTTTTATGGAATGGACTCTATTGCCACGGAGTGGATCTAGCTCGAACCTGAGATTGGTCAACCAATTCCCTGCCTCGATTGTTGATCCCGGTCGGAAGCGGTCGATCATTGTCTCTGTTTTGGAGGATGCTCGGGTCCTTTTCGCGCCTGTTGGAGTAGCTAGTTGCCTCTGGTGCCTGGTGACTGAAGAAGATCAGTCAAAGATGAGCGAGGTGGAATATCCATTCTTGTTCAATGAAGCACATCACGCATTGAATCGGGTAAGGTGTTACCAAACCTTTTCATTTTCTAGCTTTGGTTACTTAAAGATCTTAATATTTTTCCTTGTATTAGAAGGCCTCGGTGCTTCACCACGAGAGCTTCCTACGATATCGAGAAGAGTTGAGTCTCCTTAAGGCCGAAGCCAAAGAGCTTACTGAGAAGAGAGATATGTACAAACTTCTCAGTGAGCAACATGATGGGGAGGTTAAGAGTCTCCGAGTTGAGCTGGAGGTGGCTCGAAAGGAGCATGCCATCTTGGTCGAGCAGGTAAAAATATTTGAGTTTAGTGACGAAGAGATAAGCTTGGTAACTAACGGTCGGAATCTGCAGGTCCAATAAAAAATTGATCAACTGCGAGTTGATATGGATGTTGTCAAGGCCGAGACCGACGAATGGAGGGGCAGGATGGATCGTCTGGCCTCAGAAAAAAAGGTTACTCGGGTGCAACTGACTTCGGCCGAGGTATTGCTTCGAGCAGCAAAGGAAAAGGTCAAGGTGTAGGTCAAAAAGATTGAAGAGCTCCAGTCTCGGCTACGTTCGGGTACCTCTGATCGAAAAATTATGGCCAAGGAACTTGAAACAGCCAATTCAGCGACCGCGGTGGTTAAAGCCGACGAGATGGTGGCCCAATATAAGGCCGATGCCGAGGCGGCCCAGGACTGCTTGAAGGACATTGTTGATTATGAGAAGCGGTAGTCGTGAAGAGAGGCCCTCGAGGAGATTCATGCTTGGGGTTTAGATCGATCAGCCAAGATCGAACCCGCCAAGGGGCTTGAGGCCGAGGACAAGAAGTTGGCCTACCCCGAAGAAGAATAAGAAGAAGAAGAAGAAGAAGAAGAAGAAGAAGACTCTGAGTGTTCCGATGGACCCGAAGGTGGAGAAGACAGGCTATTTAGACGCTTTTGTAAAAAAAAATTGTTTTTTGTACTTTTGTATTTTTGTTAGGGCCATTTGGCCTTTGTAAAGACTATATAATATACAAGGCTTTGTTTTTCTCTTTTAAGAATTTCGCTTTCCTTTTCTTTATTCATTATGTTTTACAATGATTGAAATACCTTAGCATAAAATAGTTAAGTCATGTTCGGAGGTTCGAACAGGCCTTGCCTTAGACATTATTTTGTTGATGGCATTGT